GCAGTTTCAAAATAGCAGGTTTACAACTGAAAAGCAACATCGTATATTGTTTCTCCTTTTGTTACTCAACGCTTGTGCACTGGAATTACCTGACTGTTAAATCAGTGGGGCAGTGTAGCAGGTCACAGAATTTCACTAGTGTGATAACAGTACCAGATTGCAGATGCTATTTTCAATACTAAAAGTATAATAATATATAAGGGCTGTCAAGCAATTGACATGATGTATCAATTTGGGCCAATTTAAAGTTTAATTTAAAGTAATGATTGTGTTAAATGAGAAAAGCATTGAATATATATATTACAGAAAAGTAGCTTCAAAAACATTTTTAACATTTTCAATATTTTACACATTTTAAAGGCTACAATGTGGCTGTAACATTGTTTTCAGAAGCTGCATCTGAAATGGCTTTTAGGTATATTTACACAGACTGTTCAGAGGTGGCATGAATGCATTTACACTGCAATTAGATAATTGCGTAAATAATGCTATGAGATTAATAGGTAAAAAAAACGGAATATTGAAATATGAAATGATTTCTTACATAAATTAAATGATACTCTGTGTCCACTAAAGAATTTTTTTTTTCCTGAGGCTAGCATATTTTTTTCAATTGTTTTCAATGGGAGTGGCATGTTTTTTAAAACACCAACAGCATGATGAGCGCTGAGCATCTTTTTCATGCTGAGTGCTCGAGCGTTTTTTTTTTTTTTCTTCGTTAGCGAGAGTTGAAGAATGTTAAACCTCGGATAAAACGCAGTGCTCATCACCGTCACTTTTTAGTCAGCCGTCCAATCTCAGTGGAAGGGGGCGGGGCAAATACCACCCCAACCAATTGTCACACATTCTGCTTGTACTACACTTAAACAACAATGGAGGGCAAGTTAATATTGCTTGTCTCCGAGTATTGATGTCTGTACCATATGGGATTCCCGGATTACTACTAATATTGATATGAAAAATAATTATAATACTTGCAACATTTAATTCATGATGCATCTGCCTCTCCACTTCTGGATATTCTGTATGATCGCAACCAAAGCACCTCAACTGATGAAAACACTGTGCTGCAGAAGCCGTTTTCAGCTGCCTAAAAACACTTTGGTGGACACAAGGCCTAAATATGAAACTAAAACCACCGGTAGGTGGCAGAAAGTCTGAATGAGTGAGTCATTCAGTCAGCTGATTCTTTCAAATGGCTGATTCATTCAGAAAAGAAACTATTGACTTTATGAATGGATTACTGAATCATTGGCTTACTACATTCATTCAGAACCGTGGATTCATTCAATAATGGAACACTGCTGTGTGTTGCTAAGAAAGGCACAGCAGTTCTGCTGTGACTTTGTTTGGAACTGTTTTCTTTGGTGAAATTGAGCAAACACAGACAATACTCATTTTGTCTAAAACACAATTAACTTCTTGTTTATAGAGCTGTTGTATAAAATCAATATCACATTTACATAATGCAGATATTCGTGAAAAAACTTTTGCTTGTGTGATATTGCTGAACTATGTCATATGATTTGAATAAAAGATGAAAAACCCATAATGGGGCATTTTTTTCCCTCATGTTTTGAATTTTAGAGGCATGTAATTGAATTCTTGTATGATGCATCAAGCAGTCAGTCGTCCTGCATACATACCGAAGTATTGTATGTACCAAGCCGCCAATTTTTGTGAACCATTACATGCCTAACATATACTGTCACTGTGTGTGTGTGTGTGTGTGTGTATTCACTCTGCCTGTCTTTTAAGTTCAAATATAATTACAGTTTTCTTAAGGATAAAAAAAAATCTATTTAATCTCATCTAATGGTATAAACTATATAGGGAGCCCTGTTACTTGCACATTACTGTAATATTAAAGGTTACAATTAACAACAGAGTCTGAACTATTAAATTCAGTTGCTATGTTTTTTTTATAATATAATATAATATACAACACTAAATTTAAAATTTGTGGGCAAACATGTAAATTGTAGTTTTTACATGAACTTCTAAAGAAAAAAATGTGTTATCTCTAATTGTAATATGTTTCTACTCCAATTAGTTGTTAAAATATTATCATTTACACAGTGGCTGTCATAACTTGTATTTAGCAAAGATGTATTAAATTGTTTATAAGTCACAGTAAAGACAATGATGCAAAGGTTACAAAAGATAAAAACTGTAATATTTATCATTCAACTTTTTTTTTTCAAATAAATTGTTTATTATAAAAAAGCTTCAAGGCTTTGAAGTTATAATTTAAATGATATTTAACAAGTAATTAATTGAATAAATAAATACATTTTTAAGTAATTCAGTTTTGTCCACCACGATACTTGAGTGCTGATGGTGTTCGCCAGAGTTGCTGTGCAGTTGCTAATGTTTTCTGAGTGGTTGTTAGCACATTGTGTATTGGGTTGTTGACTGGCCCAAGTTAAAGAGCACAGCCCTAAGTTAAAGTTCAAATTCGAGTTTTTGGCCCTAGATATGGCTCTGATTCCACCTTCAATTAAATGGTAGAGAAAAGTCAATGGGATTTTATGGAACTGGTAGTCTGGTAGTCTCTCCTGATGTTTTGAGGTTAAAAATGTTGCGAGATGGCTTCAATACCCTACTTTAGTATTGAACGATGTTGTGCACGAGGTCCGACTGAATTAAACCTGTAACGCTGTTGATACCCGACTGACAGGCGCTGGTGCTGCTTTTGCCCATTTTCCTAAACCCTGCGTCTGCTGAAAAGTGGTTTGTTAAGTCTTAGCAGGATTCATCTTATTGATAATCACCCACATAACCTGACTTTGTGTGTAGGTTTAAGTAGGGGACTAGCTAACGGATTAAGGCTGATCGCTACGGCCGGCGAGAACGCATGCGCTAGATACTAATGAGCTTCAAGGACACATGTCATTTCCTCCTTATTACCTTCTGCTTGTGACTCATTGCAAGCCTGATACATAGAAGAGAGAGAGAGAGCGTGCTCACACCGGCCCGTACCCCATACTATGAGTTAATTAGTTAATTTGAATTCGTTTCAGAGTGCGTGCGTGTGTGTGTGTGGACGTGGCAGGGAACAATTGGCGCATTTTCATTCCTCTGCTGTGTGGCACCCAGACAGGTCAAACAGTCCCTGAATACAATGAATGGAGCTTAAAATAGGTTATATTTTCTCTTTCGCACAATTCTAAAATAAGAAAGAAGTGGCAAAAAGCCTCTCTGGCCTCTTGCGTTTGACGTCCCACTCTATGCTCGAAACCACGACTGACCCTGAGAAGACAATACAGTTTGCTGAACTGCCTGGCTATTAAAACCAACGAGGGCACAAATTAGGCAATGGAAACACTTTGTATTTTTATTGTTCTTCCCCCATAAACTTATGAATGCGTAAACTCAACAGTGAAATTAAAAGTCATGCCTAAAGGGTGTCCATACCACTGTGGGTGTAAGATTAAAAATGACCCCATGAGCAAAGGAAGAAATGATTCTCACATGCTAATGAGAGGATCATGTTTGGAAGCATATTTTATATTATATATTATAATAATCTCCACAATGAACTTTATATAGCACTTTTATATTTCACTTTTCTACAGAGTTATTTATAGGAAACATACACGGCTGTTCAAATGCTTGGGGTCAGTAAGATTTTGTTTTTGAAAGCTGTTAAGACTTTAGAATTACTTTACCAACACTTTAGGATTGTTAAAAATGGATAAAAAGTGAGAGTAAAGACTTTTTTTCACAAAGGTGAATTTCAAATAAATGCAATTTTTTGAACTTTCTATTCATCAAAGAATCCATAAACTTGTATCATGTTTTCCACAAAAACATTAAGCAGCACAACTGTTTTCAACATAATAATCAGCACATTAGAATGTTTTTTGAGGAATAATGTTACACTGAAGTAATGACTGTTAAAATTCAGCTTTGCCATCACAGAAATAAGTTACATTTTAAAATATATTAAAATAGAAAACAATTATTTTAAATTATAATATTTCACAATATTAGTGTTTTTATCTTTTTAATCAAATAAATGCAGCCTTGGTGAGTGTAAGAGACTTGAGAAAACATTTTTTAAAAAATGTATCAACCCCTAACTTTTGAATGGTAGCGAATATACATGATGCAAATCAATACAGTTTAAATCATCAGTATTTTTTAAGGCAACGTGCACATTGTATGTTTAATCTCTAAAACACAGCAGCAGACCTCTCCCCAATAAGTTGCATGATTTAAAGTATCATATAGCATAAACAGTGCAAGAAAAATTAGGTGCTGAGGTTTATGAATGTGTTAAAATCTAACAAATCTGTCATCAATTAAAAAGAATTGAGGTTGTACAAACCAAAATGTGTTCTGTAGTAATATAGCTTTAGATAAAACATATGTTGTCAACATCTATTTGACAATCATATACTTAAAGGGATAGTTCACCCAAAAATGAAAATTCTGTAATCATTTACTCACCCTCATGTCGTTCCAAACCTGTATGAGTTGCTTTCTTATGTTGAACACAAAAGAAGAT